CCATTATATTTGTCAAGATAGTAAGATGGTTAGTAAGATTGTGAGTAAGTATAGTTTTATTGGTCCGAATTTCCTTGTTTTATTTTGGATTAAAATTTTTCTGTTACACACAAAAACCCTAGCATTATAAATAGAAGTCTTTAGCTATTTTAGAAGAGAGACAGGAAAGAGGGAAGAGATTAACTGCTATTTTTAAAATCAATCCAACTCTTGGGGTTTTGGTTCATCATCTAGGGAAGTTTCTTTTATCTTTTTCTTGAACTCATGTTTACAATGTTTGTTTATTTTTGTTCAATTATGAAATGAATAATATTTTCTATGGCTAAGATGTAGCCCAATTTTATGAATATGTGTTGATTAATTATTATTAATATTTGTCAAGCATATCTTTTCTAAGTTTTATTATGGTTCGTAATGCTTCAGTTCTCTTAGGCTTGAGAGTTGATTAATCTAGCAAACTAAGTTGAGATCGAGAGATGAAATCTAGTTAATGTAATGTAATAAAATCATAGATTGAGCAAACATTAAAAATAAGTTATCACGATCTGCGAGGCTTTGGTAAATTATATATAGCATAATAATCTCTTAAGAATTAAATCTGATTTAGAGATATCTTGGGTTAGCAATAAAGGGTTAATCCGGTAATTATTCGAGCGAAAATTATTAGAATTCTAAGGAGTTTGTGTAACGCCCCACTTGAGGTACGTTGTTATTGTTTCCTCTTTCGCCCTTAATCGAGTTGGTTTTTGTTATTATTGTTTGTTTGAATGTTTTGTTGAATGTTGCCCTGAAATTGGTTGAAAATAGAAGAATCTTAGTGAACCAAGCTTCGCCGGGGCGAAGAAGAATCTTAGATGTGTTGAAACCAAGGGTGAAACTCTCTGGACAGTTTCGCCGCGGCGACAAAGGTTTCTTCGCCGCGGCGACAGGCCGAATAAAATGTTGATTGAGTTTTTGGATATTTTCTTCCCTAAGGGCATTTTGACCATTCTACCCCTAATTAGCAGGAAAAGTGGGGAGTTAATTGTAAGGATTTTTCATGGAGAATATGTTGATATAGGGGTGAGTTTGTAATGAATCAAAGGATATAGATGGAATTCCCAAGAAGAGTAAGGGCAAATGGGAATGATTGTTTATTTTCATTAAAAGATTAGAATCAAAGAAACCCCTCATTTCTTCTTCTCAAACGCAACTCTCCATCTTCACTCCTCTCAACTTCTCTTTTCTTTTGATCAAGGATTTCCAAGGGATTTTTGAAGTGATTTGGGGTAGAAAAGCAACCTAAGGCTTCCTAAGGTAAGGATTTCTACTTAAGTTGTGTGATTTGGGAGTTTTAACCCATATTGAAGTTTGAGGTTTTCATTCTTTTGGTTAAGATTAGAGGAAAGTCAAGCTAAACAAGTGAAGGAAGAATTGTGAAGTCTCTCCATAAAAGGTAAGTAAAACCCAACCCAAGTTGAGATTCATGAAATTTCTTGATTAGGGTTTTGATAGAAATGATGTATGTATGTGATGTGCATGTAATATGCCATGTATGGAGTATTAATGGAGATTTCTATGCTTTGTGAATGTTAACCTTGCAAATATGAGAAATGGGTTGTTGGGTTGACAAGGTTTTAGATGGATTTGAAGGGTTGTTATGAACCCTTTTTGGAAGTGTTTTGTTTGACAGGTTTTATGGCTTGTGAAGGGGTTTTTCCCCATTTTGGATGGTTAAGAAAAGTTTTAGAATCATGGCTATAATAGAGTTTTATAGTGCATGAGTTGTTTGATGAAATGCCTAATAAGGTTTGAGTGTGAGTAGTAAACCTTAATTCTTGCAACATTGCATGTTGGCATCTCATAAGTGTATTGGTGAAGTTGAACCATCCATAGGCACTACTTGTACATAGAAAAGTGACCTAAGAAAGAGTAGGAAACTTTGTGTCCAAATACTCTATGAGTGAGAGCTTAGTGTGTACAACTACTCTAAGGGTAGAGAGCATTGAAAAATGCTACAATAGAATGAATTAGAAGAGTGTAAAGTTGGGATATGCTTTGTGATCATCACCCGACCGTTATGGGAATCGGATTGATGCTTTGTGATCATCACCCGAATAGTCCTTAGAGATGGGTCGATGCTTTGTGACCGTCATCCAATAGTATAGAAATGGGGTAGATGCTTTGTGATCACTATCCGATTGGTTATTAGAAAAGTGGTTTGATGCTTTGTGATCATCATCCAACAGTTAGTAGAAACAGGTTGATGCTTTATGATCATCCCCCGATAGTGACTAGAGACGGTAAATGCTTGTGAACGTTACCCAAAATTCATGAGGAACGGGTAGGTGCAGGTGATCTCCACCCGATAGTTAAGAAGAATCGAGTTGGTGCTTTGTGATCCTCACTCGGTGTCACTAAGAACGGGTTGGTACTTTGTGAATTCCACCCAATGGCCATAGAGCAGACGGTGCTGTGTGAACGCCATCCGGCCGTACCTCCGTAAGATGAGGGCATGATGTTTATTAGAAACAGAAACAGAATTAGAAAAGGAAAGAATTAAAGTTACACACGGGACAGACAGTTAGAGAGTTTTACTTACTGAGCATTATTTGTGCTCACCCCGTTATTTCCTTTGTGGATGCAGGTTCTAGTGATGACGCAGTCGGAGGGCGTCGGCAGCGAAGAGGAATAGTTACACTGTTTCCCCTGTTTTGTCTTTTAAAATGCATTTTTGTAAACAGTACTATTTGTGTTAAGGCATAGTATTATTAATGAAAAGGAAATTTTTGGGCCCAATTTTACATTGTTATTATGCATGCATTGTACTAGTTTTCAGTAGATGTTACAGTTTGCCTGTAGAAAAAGTTTGATAATATTAGTAATAATTATCATACATAGGATATAATTAGTGTTAAATATATACCCTAGGTTTAGTCAAATTTGCGTTACAACCAGCGTGTTTTTGTTTATTTTATTTTCTTCCAGATTTTTAACTTGTTTTAGATTTGTTGATTTTAGTAAGTTACTCTTCTAAATTCGTTTAACCAAATAGTAATAGGATAATTTATTTTGGTACTGTGTAGTTACCGATTCTCTTAAGATTCGACATCTGCTACCTCATTCTTTACTACTTACACGATTTCGTACGTTTACAAAACACTTTCACCCTACTATCGAATGGTACTTTTTGTCGTCTTCAACCTTAGGCTGTGAAAAGTGATCGATACTATCAAAACTCCGATAGCAATCCCAAGTTTTGTCAAAACATTAAAATTTTTGATTTGCAACATCCTTAATAAAAGGTACCCAAACAACCAACATTAACCACTCATCTACATAAAAATCCTAATTTTAAACACAACCGAATTAAGATTGGTTTATAGCTTTGGTTTTCAAATTCTTCGGGTCTTTAGTCTAACTTTGAAGCAGATAGGTGAAAGGATGAGGGTTATTTGTATATGAGGGCATTTTTGTCCTTCTTGTTGTGTAAGACGTCATATTTGATAATGCTGACATATTAGCCGATGGGCGACGGATGCAGGGATTAGGCATCTCTCCTAGTTTTTCCCCATTTTTGCTTTTTATGGCTTTCAAGGATCTTACGCCACGTGCTCAGTAAAAAAACTCAACGTTTTAGATTTTGTTTTAACAAATTTTATTATTTTATTCATACTTAGAACATTTTTTATTTCCTAAATTTCCTTCCCGCTAAAAAATTTCCTCTTCTTTCTGTATTACTTTTAATTATCTTATATTCGAGAAAACTTGTATTGGATTTTAAAGATGCCAAATAAACTTTAGAATTTAAGAAGAGAATATTTGATTTTAACTATTTTAATACTATTAGAAAAAAAAAAAAAAAAAAGTCCACGATCCTGAAATAATAATAGAAGTGTAGATTATATATGTGCACCCAAAAAAAAAAAAAAAAAAAAAGGTAATTTCTTCTATAATTTTTAAATTAGATTTTGATTAATTGAATGAAATATAGTAATAATTAAATATACCACTACATTTTGCAATTTTTCATACAACTCTGATTGACAGCTCGTAATTGGTCAGTTTGCAGTGAATCTCACTCTCCAAATACAATAACCATCCCGAACTACCATCTCAAGGTTATATAAAAGGTTGTAAATGTAGTTTTATTGAAATTAAAAGAATAGAGTTGATGATAAAAAATTATTTCTACTAACATATCACATAGTTTATTAATCATTTTTTTTATTATTATTTTATTGTAGTTTCATCTACTGCTTATCAAGTGGTTGTATATTGGTTCATATAAAAATTATAAAAGTGCACAAAATAAAAACCTTATGTTAAAAATTTCGATAATGAATGCATTTAAAGAAATAATATTAAAATGTATATATATTATTGAAACATAAAATTCACATTATCAATTTAACTACTAATCTTGTGACCAATGGCAAGATTAATTATCTATGTAAGTTCTCAGATGTCTTGTGTTCAAGCCCTACAAAGTATCATCTACCAGTTTGTGTCTTATCTGACCCATTGGACTTGTAGAGTGTTCAATAGACCCTAGAGATTGGTTGAGATTGTATAACTAACCTGAACCACCCGATTATCAAAAGAAAAAAAACACATTAATTTAAAAAGTCTAGCCCACATTTCAGTTAAGCCTAAACAGTGAAGATATATAGTAGGTTGTTGGGTCGCTTATCAAAATAACCAAATTCCAATCCAAATTCAACCACCCCACTTGGAAAAAAGAGGCATGACTTTTGAGAATTCTCGCAATTCATATCTAATATCAAAAAAAGTTTTTTTTTTTTTTTTTCCCCTTCTTATCAAATAAAAAAAATAAAAAAAGAGTTAGGTGAGAGGTAATACTAGTTCAATAATTCCATTAAAATTATAAATCCATCAAACATATTAAATTAAAATAATAGATAATTAATTATGTTCATATTGACCATCCAAAAAATGATCAAAGAAGAAATAAATGAAATAAATATCTACAATATATGAGAGATCTTTGACCAATTAAGTAAACATAAAGAAGGAACCTTGTAACAAAAATCCAGGAAAAATGGTGATCATCCTTGTAAGACATGATACAATATAAGAACAAAATGCCAGGAATTTCCAGGTCCCCCCCCATCTAAACTTTTCCTAAATTTTTCCAAGCATTCTGGCTAGATAAAAAGCTTAAATGGGAACAAGTAATTTGATGTTACTAGTGTTTTCACCAGCATGATTAAGTTGTAAGAAGAAAAGAATGTAATGAAGGAATGTCACTAGACAGATTCAACTTAACACAAAAGAATGGCCTATTATGGGAACTGGAACGAGCCCCCGATTTGGTTAGTACCGGACGGGGGATTGATCGCCACCCAAAGAAGGGAGATGGTGATTGCAATAAGTCCTGACCACACAAAAACAATGGTAGGAGTCCTCCCTCTTCTTCCCATAAGTCCTTTTGCAAAAGGATAGAGATGTGCCAAAACCCAGAAACTGAAGAAAACTCCACCTATTAAGCGGCTCCATTGTGGTATGACACTGTATATTGTTCTGCTAAACCCGACTGCTATTGCGATTAAGTTAACCATCATGATTGTGATTGGTGGGATCATGAGAGACGTCCATTTCACAGTGTAGAGGTCAGCAAACTCATCATCTATATCATCACCACCTGATTTTGATGTCAAGGTGAAAGAAATTTCAATCCCCGCGACAACTTTTAGTAGCCCCTGAAGCACGGCAGCAAGGTGGGCACTAGTTCCTCCAATCAACCAAAACTGCTCATTTCTCCACCATTCCTCTAACTCAATGCCAGACCATTTAATTTCAAGCACAGCTAGCAAACATAGAGTGATAGTAATGGTAAGGAGGTAGACTAGGAAAGTTACATTGAGGGTCTGGACGATGAACTGGCCAGAGAAGAGGGAGAGAGCAGGGAGAAAGCAATAGACAATGAGAAAGATGGAAGTAAAGGGATAGATTCCGACATTGAGGTACGCTATCCTTTGGAGAAACTTCATTCTAGGGCTGGCAAGAAGGGCATTGTTACGGGAGAAGAAAATCTCAACTGAACCAGTTGCCCACCGTAAGACTTGATGAAGTCGGTCAGTGAGATTGATTGGAGCAGTTCCACGGAAGGCATCACGTTTGGTCACACAATAAACTGATTTCCATCCTCTGTTGTGCATCCTATAGCCAGTGACCACATCTTCAGTAACAGACCCATAAATCCACCCTACACGAGATCCCCACTCAGTCTTGTCTTCATACCAGCAAGAGATGACACTAATAGCCTCTGCAACAGTTGAGGCATCAAGAAGTTCACGGGGGATGGTAAGAGCACCAGGTGGGCGACCATTCTTCACAGCTGGGTGATCGGCAAGGGGTCGACCTTGGAACTCTGCAACCGGGATTGAGTCAATGAGGAAAGTTGAGTTACCAAACTTCTTAGGGAGCAGAGAGAGGTTCATCTCTTCATCATCTGAGTCACCCATTCTTAGGGCCCGATTCTCTTCTGGGGTGTTAGCAATGGACTGCTTCTTTCGACGGGAAAAGCAGCAGCTGCAGCAACCTGGATGGTGTTCTTTTGACCGAGGTGGATCAAACCCATATAGAGCAATCCTCCTAAAGAGACATCCAGTTCCAACATAAACTGGTCCCATAAGTCCATCTAAGGCTCTCATGTTAACATCAAAAAAGACAGTGTTGTGATTGGCATATCGATCAGAAGGATCAATACCCTCAAATCTCTGAGGGAACTGCACATAACAAAGGCGATCACCCCCTCGATCCATCATGAAGCACATGCCTTCCCTCATTGCCTGAGAGTTGTAGATGTAGTGGTCACAGTCAAGGTTGAGAATGAAGGGCCCATTAGACATAATGGCAGAGGCTCGAACCAATGCATTCATGGCTCCTGCCTTCTTGTTGTGATCATAGCCAGGACGCTTCTCACGAGAAACATAAACCAGTAATGGGAGACGGATGTCAACATCAGTCAGATCAATGAGCTTGGCATCATCAGCTGTTCCATGTAGTGGGTCATCACTGGGAGGTTTCAACATCACCTGCATAATTTTAATGAAAAACAATATCAGTATAATATTTTTAATATTTCTAGTACTAATGTTGATATTTGTAATGAAACCTAAAAGAAGTCTTCATCTACCGAGTATATTCACACAATCCTTCGCATTAAATAATTTCAAACAATCCTTACCTGTATTATACCAGCATGGTCACCTTTAGAGTGCTCACTGGAAGGGGTCAACCACGTTCCTGGCCAGTGGGTACCATCAGCCATCCAGGTGGCTTTCGGAATCTTCACACTCTCCACAGGTTCATCCTCCCTATTCTGTCTCTGCGTCTTCATGGCCTTGATTTCCTCCCTAGCATGATAAGCGTCAGAACGGCGACGGATAGATTCAGGCAACCCATTGATCCGGACCTTGAACTCATCGTACTCACGTTTAACTCGTCTACGATCCTTGACAAAATCTGACTTCACTTTGTTCTTGTAAGGATCCCGTTTCAAATTGAAGTACGACTCTGGATTTCTGGGCTCAATATCATGCTTCCGACAAAATGGAACCCAAATGTTAGCAAAGCTTGCTGCTTCAGCCATGGCCTCAAAAGTTAGAAGTGCTCCACCATCATCAGAAACATAACAAGCAAGCTTTTCCACAGGGTAGTCAGCAGCTAAAATTGACAAGATAGTATTTGCAGTGACAAGAGGTGGTTCTTTCTCTGGATCAGCAGTAGATACAAAGACATCTACGCCTGGAAGGTCAGATTTTCCAGTGGGGTTGTTGGGGGTAGGTGCTTCAAATTTATCCTTCAGGACATTAAGATCTGTAGCACGATTAACAGGGCACAGCTTGGGAAGTTGATCAAGAAGCCATGAAAAAGCAAACCAGATTTCACAAACCACAGACATTCCCCACAGCCAAATTGCATCATTGTTTGGGTTTTTTACCCTCCACATCAAAAACAATGCAAGAACAACGATCCGAATGAAAATTAGAAGCCTGTGAGAAGAAATGAAACAAAGAAAAAAAAGTAATCATCAGCTTAAGTGTAAGAGGATAACGAATAGGTAAAATGTGTTTACCTCGTATATCTAAATTAAATTTAAGTAAATGTTTCAAATTAAGAACTGCAGGTACAATAAATAGTCAGGGTCATTGCCATGACTGAACTAACAAAATTTGCATCAAAGTATGATTTGAAAATCATGAGTGATTGAGCCGGTTTTCAAATTAAAAAACAGCTGGGGGAAGATATTGAAATATATGTGTGTGTGTGTGTGCGCGCTTTGACAAGGATCAAATAAAGTAAAAAAAAAAGGTTAAGTCAATTAAACCTCATAGGCTAATTTAAATATATAGAGTTTAAACAATAATATTTTGAACCAAAAAAAATTAAAAAATGCAATCAATCCACTTTATATTGATGAATCAAATTTATAGTTCAGTTGACTCTATGTTTTACATGGTAACATTCTAAAAGGTCACCTTGCTCCAATAATGATAGTAATAACAATAAATAATAAAATAAAATGACCACCATTGACTCAAATAATACAATGAACTACCCACACAAGGGTCAGAAAATGTCAAAGAGTTTTCTTTCAAGTAAAATTCAAAAAATTAACAAGCCACTTATGCCTTACCATCAGTTTATTACATGCGCAACATAACTAAATGAAATAAATAACAATGCTCAAAAAAATAAATAAATAAATAACGACAAGGAAACTTGAAAAGCACATATTCATTTGATTATCTGAATAAGTGCATGTTGTACTCATTAACATCTAATCTGCATATTTGTAAAATGAAAATGAGAAGAAATGCTCAAATTTCTTAAAACATCATATCATCATCAGAATGCCTAAATTCAAAAGGAGAAAATTAACATAATGATTAATCAAGAACAGAGAACTATACCTATATGGGCTGAGAACAGCAGCAGGTATCTTTAATTTTCGTGTAAGTGGCCTCCAGGGTTTGCTCATCAATTCTTGTGGCTCTGCTACATCATCATCTTTCCCATTTCCAAAATTCCCATCCTTTGGCCATATAGCATTACCATAACCATAAGTTCCTCTAGTCTCAAACAGCCACCGATTGTGATCAAAATCCCCGGTTTGGCTCCTCATCAGCACCGACTTTGTTGACTTCATCAAAGATAACCTTCTTTCCATTTTGGACATTCCAGCTGGAGGAGGAAGTGGTAGTGGCCGCCCATTATCCACGGCCACCTCATCCAGATCTAAATTCTTGTATTGCTCCTTACATCCTGGGCAAATCCCACCTCCAGTTTTCACTGCATCAATATAGCAGTCCCTACATATTTTAAAATCACACTCACAAGGGAGAATATCCACACCACGCTCATCACTCATCACCTTCGCATCACACCCTGGGATTGCACATGAAGACCCTTTTGCACCAGCCATCTGGGGATGGTTTGCTTCAGATTCAATCACCTTATCCATGAGATGTGCTCGAGTAACGCTATTGAAACCTCCCGTAAAGAGTGAATTCGAAACATATTGTTCCTCAACCTTCTGTGAGATTGATGGATCCATGGGTTGATTATCAGGGGTGGGCGGTATGTGTACTGTGTAGTTCATGAAATCACTACTTCCAAGCTCACTGTCAAGATCATCTCGTGAGTAGCTGATGTAGCGACCAGAGGAAGTTCTCCGGCCAAATGTCACAGTTGGAGGTAATGGTGGTCTGTGTGCATCATGAGCATCTGAAGACGTTGATAGGTTTGATCGGCTTCCTTTGAATGATTTGGAAGCCATATTTGAACACTACAAAAGAATCAGCCTTGGTTCCTGAAATTTCAAAATGCAACAAAATCAATCTCAATGGAAATATAGATTAAACAACTAATACAAATCATTCACCACCCAATCTAAGCCTAATATTTGATCCTCTACACAGTTGAATTGTAAAAGAAAACGTTAAATAATAGTTCATTCTTATGATTTGCACTCCTTAGCAACAGATCAAGAAATAAGAAAATTCCATACAAATAAATCCTATCATCTTAATGTCTCTTAGCCCCCTACATTTAGTCAGCAGCCAAATAGTATAAGTCCTAGTCGAAAACAATTTTTTGAAAAGTTCGAATAAGAAAAATCCGTACAAATAACAACGAGCTTTAGTTTAAAGAAACAGATCGTTCATAAATGCCTTAAATCTTTGTTTGGTTGCCAAGAAAATGACTCAGATTTTCACTTCAAAACCTTAAATCAAGTAAAAGATCAAAAACAAAGTAGCACAATTACACTAGACTCCATTAAGTAAACCTTCCAAACTTCACAGTATATCACATTCCAGTTACGAAATCAAAGCATAATCCTACTTCCTTAGATTTTCCTACACTTTCCCACAAATTTTCTCAGCAACCAAACAACCCAGAAAACAGTAAACCAAAAAACCACCCAAACCCATTGCACCTTTAGGCAAAAGGAGATCGACCCATGTCATAAAAGAGGCACAGATCCTAATGTCACCATAAAATCATACCTTTCTCAGTATAAATAAACTACGAGCTTTCAAAACAGATCCTATCCTTTTCATGAAAGCTCTTGACAAAGCCTTAAAGAATAAACCAAAGCGGTGGCTGGCTCAAATCTGAAAGATTCAAAACCTCTCCAACTGGCCTCACAAAACTTGAGACAGAGACAGATAAAAAAGATTAGTCGTGAGAAAGACTACAAGCACTACTACTACATGATGGATTTATAAAAGAGATTGAATTACTTTAATAAATGGCATAAAGCTGAGATTGTGAGCTTAAAATAATGAGAAAGAGAAGCTTCTTTGTGCTGGGAAGAGAAGAAGAACATGTAAAAGAGTTCGAGGATGAGTCGGTTTCGTGGATCGCCGGCTAGTTAGACCAGACCAGCTCTTAGGATTTGTTGTGTAAGAGGCAAGAGCCTAAGAGGGAATAAAATATAAGGCGTTTTTTAGAACCCCCGGCATGTTTAATCAAAAACCTCCCTAACATTTCATAAATAACCTAAATACCCCTTCTATTAGAGAGTCGTAGTGTACCGTAGAGGTTCGTAGAATGATGTATTAACATATATTTACCTAATTGCCCCTCTATCGTTTATTTAACACCAACTATAAACGACGGGGGTTTCTATGTTTCTATAACTATAGGGAAATTTCATTTAAAGTATACTCTAGGGTGTTTTGATTAACAAAAAAATATTTGAAAACAGGAAAAACAAAAGTAGTTTGTTTTTATTTTATATTACAAAAGGAAAGAAAAGGTGGAGGTAAGTGAGTGGAGAAGGGTGTTTTTGGAGATTTTACGAGAGTGGGAACTTTTGAGAAGGGTGTTTTTGGTAATTTAAAACGACAATTATTTTGTTTGATGAGTGAGGAAATTAGATGGAAAAGGTAAGAATAAGGATTGCCTTTTTTGATATTTGGTTGAAATGAGATGAGAAAGGAAAGGATCATTTATTAAAATTCTATTACTATATATTATTTGAAAGACAACTTATTATACTATTATTAGGTGATATAATATAAAAATAAAAATAAATATATTGAATATAAGAATGTGATAAACTTGTTTTATAATTTTTAGTGTAAATAGATTTTATAAATTAATGTTTTATTCATGATTTTAGATAAATTTTGTTGAACTATGGAAAGGTTGATAAGGTCAAGACTTTAAAATAATTTTTACAAATTCTAAAATAATTTAATCATGAAAATTTCATTATCTCAAAAGGATGGAATAAAATTTAGCTTAAACAATATTTCTTAACACGGCCTATAGGTAAAATCACTAAAAAGAAAATTGTTAAATTATTAATTTTCTTAACGTTTTCTATGACAATTTTTATAATTATTTAATTATACTTATAATCGAGGTTTTTTTTTTTTTTTTTAATGTTAACTCAATATTTATAGTTATTTTCATAAAATTATTCCTTATATGTAGGAACATTACTTATAAAACCAACCTCTGAGTGATCGAGTGTGAATAGAGACTCTTAAGTGTTATTTCAAAAGATTCCGAGTTTGATTTCTCTCTAATACTAATAGGGATGACTATTAGAGGATTATTAGACTGTTAACTCTAAGCCTAAGACATTAGTCAAGACATGCAAACTGACCCAAATACCCCTGTTACCAAAAAAAAAGAAAAAAAAAAATTTATAAAACTTTCCTACTAATTTTTTATCAATTTAGATAGTTGTTCTTCTAGACTTAAGAAAATTAGTAGTTTTACATGAGATTAAAGTTAGGTCAAAGCATTAATATATATAAGATTAAGAGGGAATTTTGTATATTTATGTTAGCATATTTATTCTTGTATATAGATAATCAATTCGATTTCAATCTATGTATATTTATAGTGTGAAATCCAAGATTAAGAGAGAATTTTAATCGGTACAACATCTTACCAACAGAAGGAATCTATGCATTAGACTAATTTACATCCTCCATTATTCTACAACAACACCTAATAACTTATAATTAACTAAATCATCTTACCATAATCTAGTAAAATAAATGGATTTGGAACAATTAGTTGGGTCTAAAAAGTCAAAATTCAAAGTAACTGTGCTAAATAAATCGTAAAATTAGAGCAGCTGATGATTCACGTTCACATCTACTTGCTACATCTAACGCGTGTATGTTTTGTTCTGCCGTTGTTTGCATGTCAAAATGCTAGTTGTTATTTAGCTGTTTTCCCTTAAGAAGGTAACAATCCTATGCAACTATCCCACCATTACTTACCATACTCAATTAACATCACCCGTCCGATATTTTTTAACATTTATTTGATGTTTTGAAAATTAACCTTATTGTTTCTTAATCGTTAATTTGTTATACTTAAAAGAATAACCTCTCATATAGTATATAAAAAATCTTACTGTAATAAATATGATTTTGCCTTTTTTTTAAATTAAGGTAGATTTAATTAAATAAAATACACTTTGTTTATTTAGCAAATAGGAAAATACGTTAAAATAAATACTTATCATTGAGGGTATGTTGTGCGACATAATATAACATTAAGTAAATTGTATAATAGTATATTGTATTATATAATATTGTACAAAATGTTTTATGATGTTTGATTAAACATGAATTCTATTGAATACTATTAATTTTGTTTTCTAACAAAAATTCATTTATTAAAAGTACTATATATTTTTTAATTATTATTTGACAAATGAATTTTAAAAAAAAAAATAACTTAAATGGGATAGTGATCAGTGAAAGTCAAAAGAATGGTCAAATGTTTATGAGAAAATATCATTTTGAAAATTAAAAAAAATATATATATATATATATAGATAAAATGGAATTAATTTGATATATACATAAAATAAAAGAGATGATTTTTTCTTTAATTTTCTTTTTCCACAAGAATAAAAAACAAAAATATAACATAAACAAACAAATACTTCACGTTTTTCAAGGACGAAAAGAAAAATACATAATTAAGAATATAAACGAGCATAGCCTAAGTTAGTATTAAAAATTAAATTGAATTGTGTCTATATTTATAAGCTCTTAAACAAAAATTAGATATACACAATCTGATTTATAAACCAAAGCGGTGGCGGCTCTAAATCTGAAAGATTCAAAACTCCCCAACTGGCCTCAAAAAAACTTGAGACAGAGACAGATAAAACAGACTTAGTCGTGAGGAAGACTACAAGCATACTACTACATGATGGATTTATAAAAGAGATTTGAATTACTTTAATAAATGGCATTAAGCTGAGATTGTGAGCTTAAAATAATGAGAAAAGAGAAGCTCTTTGTGCTGGCGAGAGAAGAACATGTAAAAGAGTTCGAGGAATGAGTGGTTTCGTGGATCGCGGCTAGTTAAGACCAGCCAGCTTTTAGGATTTGTTGTGTAAGAGGGTAAGAGCCTAAGAGGAATAAAATATGACCCCCCTGATGTTAATCTAAAAACTCCTAACATTCATAAATAACAGAATACCCTTCTATTAGGAGTCGGTAGTGTACCGTTAGATTCGTAGAGATGTATGTATTATTTACCTAATTGCCCCTCTATCGTTTTTTTAACACCAACTATAAACGACAGGGGGGTTTCTATTGTTTCATAAACTATAGGGAAATTAATAGTAAAGTATATCTAGGGGTGTTTGATTAACCAAAAAATAATTTGAAAACAGGAAAAAAAACAAAAGGGTTTGTTTTATTTATTATTACCAAAAGGAGAGAAAAGGGTGGAGGTAAGTGAGTGGAGAAGGGGTGTTGGAGATTTACGAGAGTGGGAAGCTTTGAGAAGGGTGTTTTGGGTATTTTAAAACGACAATTATTTTGTTTGATGAGTGAGGAAATTAGATGGAAAGGTAAGAATAATGGATTGCCTTTATTGATATTTGTTGAAATGTAGATGAGAAAGGGTCATTTATTAAAATTCTATTATAATATATTATTTGAATGAAAATTTATTATACTATTATAGTAAATAAAAAATATATTTAAATATAGATAACGTGATAAATTGTTCTATAATTTTTCAGTGTAAATAAATTTTATAAATTAATGTTTTTATCATGATTTTAGATAAATTTTGTTGAACTAGGGAGAAGGTTGATAAGGTTAATGACTTTTTTCAAAGATTTTAAAATAATTTTACAACAAATTCTAAAATAATTGAATCATGACAATTTCATTATCCAAAAGTATGTGAATAAAATTTAGCTAAATGATATTCTTAACACGGCTTATCAGTGTAAAATCACTAAAAAGGAAAAATGTTAAATATTTAATTTCTTAACCGTTTTCTATGACAATTTTTTTAATATTTAATTATCTTATTAACAAGGTTTTTTTTTTTTTTTAAATGTTAACTAAATTTATGTAGTTTTCATATATTATTCCTATATGTAAGGAACTTACTTTATAAAACAACATTGAGTGATCGAGTATGAAATAGAGACTCTTAAGTTATATTCAAGAGATCCCAAATTGATTCTCTCTATTATGACAGGATGACCATTAGAGTATTATCCGATCGTAACTCTAGGGTCCTAAGACATTAGTGAAGATACATACAAACTGATCGAAATACCCCCGTTACCAAAAAAACATTGCCATGACTGAACTAACAAAATTTGCATAAAAGTATGATTTGAAAATCATGAGTGATTGAGCCGGTTTTCAAATTAAAAAACAGCTGGGGGAAGATATTGAAATATATGTGTGTGTGTGTGTGCGCGCTTTGACAAGGATCAAATAAAGTAAAAAAAAAAAGGTTAAGTCAATTAAACCTCATAGGCTAATTTAAATATATAGAGTTTAAACAATAATATTTTGAACCAAAAAAAATTAAAAAATGCAATCAATCCACTTTATATTGATGAATCAAATTTATAGTTCAGTTGACTCTATGTTTTACATGGTAACATTCTAAAAGGTCACCTTGCTCCAATAATGATAGTAATAACAATAAATAATAAAATAAAATGACCACCATTGACTCAAATAATACAATGAACTACCCACACAAGGGTCAGAAAATGTCAAAGAGTTTTCTTTCAAGTAAAATTCAAAAAATTAACAAGCCACTTATGCCTTACCATCAGTTTATTACATGCGCAACATAACTAAATGAAATAAATAACAATGCTCAAAAAAATAAATAAATAAATAACGACAAGGAAACTTGAAAAGCACATATTCATTTGATTATCTGAATAAGTGCATGTTGTACTCATTAACATCTAATCTGCATATTTGTAAAATGAAAATGAGAAGAAATGCTCAAATTTCTTAAAACATCATATCATCATCAGAATGCCTAAATTCAAAAGGAGAAAATTAACATAATGATTAATCAAGAACAGAGAACTATACCTATATGGGCTGAGAACAGCAGCAGGTATCTTTAATTTTCGTGTAAGTGGCCTCCAGGGTTTGCTCATCAATTCTTGTGGCTCTGCTACATCATCATCTTTCCCATTTCCAAAATTCCCATCCTTTGGCCATATAGCATTACCATAACCATAAGTTCCTCTAGTCTCAAACAGCCACCGATTGTGATCAAAATCCCCGGTTTGGCTCCTCATCAGCACCGACTTTGTTGACTTCATCAAAGACAACCTTCTCTCCATTTTGGACATTCCAGCTGGGGGAGGAAGTGGTAGTGGCCGCCCATTATCCACGGCCACCTCATCCAGATCTAAATTCTTGTATTGCTCCTTACATCCTGGGCAAATCCCACCTCCAGTTTTCACTGCATCAATATAGCAGTCCCTACATATTTTAAAATCACACTCACAAGGGAGAATATCCACACCACGCTCATCACTCATCACCTTCGCATCACACCCTGGGATTGCACATGAAGACCCTTTTGCACCAGCCATCTGGGGATGGTTTGCTTCAGATTCAATCACCTTATCCATGAGATGTGCTCGAGTAACGCTATTGAAACCTCCCGTAAAGAGTGAATTCGAAACATATTGTTCCTCAACCTTCTGTGAGATTGATGGATCCATAGGTTGATTATCAGGGGTGGGCGGTATGTGTACTGTGTAGTTCATGAAATCACTACTTCCAAGCTCACTGTCAAGATCATCGCGTGAGTAGCTGATGTAGCGACCAGAGGAAGTTCTCCGGCCAAATGTCACAGTTGGAGGTAATGGTGGTCTGTGTGCATCATGAGCATCTGAAGACGTTGATAGGTTTGATCGGCTTCCTTTGAATGATTTGGAAGCCATATTTGAACACTACAAAAGAATCAGCCTTGGTTCCTGAAATTTCAAAATGCAACAAAATCAATCTCAATGGAAATATAGATTAAACAACTAATACAAATCATTCACCATCCAATCTAAGCCTAATATTTGATCCTCTACATAGTTGAATTGTAAAACAAAACGTTAAATAATAGTTCATTCTTATGATTTGCACTCCTTAGCAACAGATCAAGAAATAAGAAAATTCCATACAAATAAATCCTATCATCTTAATGTCTCTTAGCCCCCTACATTTAGTCAGCAGCCAAATAGTATAAGTCCTAGTCGAAAACAATTTTTTGAAAAGTTCGAATAAGAAAAATCCGTACAAATAACAACGAGCTTTAGTTTAAAGAAACAGATCGTTCATAAATGCCTTAAATCTTTGTTTGGTTGCCAAGAAAATGACTCAGATTTTCACTTTAAAACCTTAAATCAAGTAAAAGATCAAAAACAAAGTAGCACAATTACACTAGACTCCATTAAGTAAACATTCCAACTTCACCAGATATATCACATCCAGTTACGAAATCAAAGCATAATCTTACTTCCCTTAGATTTTCCTACACTTTCCCACAAATTTTCTCAGCAACCAAACAAACCCAGAAAACAGTAAACCAAAAAACCACCCAAAACCCATTGCACCTTTAGGCAAAAGGAGATCGACCCATGTCATAAAAGAGAGCACAGATCCTAATGTCACCATAAAAATCATACCTTTCTCAGTATAAATAAACTACGAAGCTTTCAAAACAGATCCTATCCTTTTCATGAAAGCTCTTGACAAAGCCTTAGTAAGGAATAAAACCAAAGCGGTGGCTGGCTCTAAATCTGAAAGATTCAAAACTCTCCAACTGGCCTCACAAAAACTTGAGACAGAGACAGATAAAACAGACTTAGTCGTGAGGAAGACTACAAGCACTACTACTACATGATGGATTTATAAAAGAGATTTGAATTACTTTAATAAATGGCATAAAGCTGAGATTGTGAGCTTAAAATAATGAGAAAAAGAGAAGCTTCTTTGTGCTGGCGAAGAGAAGAACATGTAAAAGAGTTCGAGGAATGAGTCGGTTTCGTGGATCGCCGGCTAGTTAAGACCAGACCAGCTCTTAGGATTTGTTGTGTAAGAGGCTAAGAGCCTAAGAGGGAATAAAATATGGACCCCCCTGATGTTTAATCTAAAAACTCCCTAACATTTCATAAATAACCTAAATACCCCTTCTATTAGAGAGTCGTTAGTGTACCGTTAGAGTTCGTAGAATGATGTATTAGTATATATTTACCTAATTGCCCCTCTATCGTTTATTTTAACACCAACTATAAACGACAGGGGGGTTTCTATTGTTTCTATAACTATAGGGAAATTTAATAGTTAAAGTATATCTAGGGGTGTCTTTGTGATTAACCAAAAAATAATTTGAAAACAGGAAAAACAAAAGTAGTTTGTTTTTATTTTATTATTACCAAAAGGAGAAGAAAAGGGTGGAGGTAAGTGAGTGGAGAAGGGTGTTTTGGAGATTTTACGAGAGTTGGGAAACTTTTGAGAAGGGTGTTTTGGGTAATTTAAAACGACAATTATTTTGTTTGATGAGTGAGGAAATTAGATGGAAAAGGTAAGAATAATTGGATTGCCTTTTATGATATTTGGTTGAAATGCAGATGAGAAAGGAAAAGGATCATTTATTAAAATTCTATTACTATATATTTATTTGAAAGACAACTTATTATACTATTATTAGGTGATAATAATAATAAAAATAAAAATAAAATATTATTTGAATATACTGATGTGATAAACTTGTTCTTTATAATTTTTAGTGTAAATAGATTTTATAAATTAATGTTTTCATTCATGATTTTAGATAAATTTTGTTGAACTATGGAAAAGGTTGATAAGGTCAAAGACTTTAAAATAATTTTATAACAAATTCTAAAATAATTTAATCATGAAAATTTCATTATCTCAAAAGGATGTGAATAAAATTTAGCTTAAACAATATTTTCTTAACACGGCCTATAAGGTATAAAATCACTAAAAAAGAAAATTGTTAAATTATTTAATTTTCTTAACCGTTTTCTATGACAATTTTTATAATTATTTAATTTATCTTATTAATCGAGGTTTTTTTTTTTTTTTTATGTTAACTCAATATTTATAGTTATTTTCATAATAATTCTTCCTTATATGTAAGGAACATTACTTTATACAAACCAACCCTTGAGTGATCGAGTGGTGAAATAGAGACTCTTAAGTGTATATTTCAAAAGATTCCGAGTTTGATTTCTCTCTAATACTAATAGGGATGACTATTAGAGGATTATTAGACTGTTAACTCTAAAGCCCTAAGACATTAGTCAAGATGCATGCAAACTGACCCAAATACCCCCTGTTACCAAAAAAAAAGAAAAAAAAAATTTATAAAACTTTCCTACTAATTTTTTATCAATTTAGATAGTAGTTCTTCCAGACTTAAGAAAATTAGTAGTTTTACATGAGATTAAAGCTAGGTCAAAGCATTAATATATATAAGATTAGAGGGAATTTTTTATATTTATCTTAGCATATTTATTCTTGTATATAGATAATCAATTCGATTTCAATCTATGTATATTTATAGTGTGAAATCAAAGATTAAGAGGGAATTTTGATCGGTACGACATCTTACCAACAAAAGGAATTTATGCATTAGACTAATTTACATCCTCCATTATTCTACAACAACACCTAATAACTTATAATTAACTAAATCATCTTACCATAATCTAGTAAAATAAATGGAGTTGGAACAATTGGTTGGGTCTACAAAGTCAAAATTCAAAGTAACTGTGTTAAATAAAGAATTCACGTTCACATCTACTCGCTACATCTAACGCGTGTATGTTTTGTTCTGCCGTTGTTTGCATGTCAAAATGCTAGTTGTTATTTGGCTGTTTTCCCTTAAGAAGGTAACAATCCTATGCAACTATCCCACCATTACTTACCATACTCAATTAACATCACCCGTCCGATATTTTTTAACATTTATTTGATGTTTTGAAAATTAACCTTATTGTTTCTTAATCGTTAATTTGTTATACTTAAAAGAATAACCTCTCATATAGTATATCAAAAATCTTACTGTAATAAATATGATTTTGCCTTTTTTTTAAATTAAGGTAGATTTAATTAAATAAAATACACTTTGTTTATTTAGCAAATAGGAGAATACGTTAAAATAAATACTTATCATTAAGGGTATGTTGAGGTGCGACATAATATAACATTAAGTAAATTACATAATATTATGTTGTATTATATAATATTGTACAAAATGTTTTATGATGTTTGATAAAACATGAATTATATTGAGTACTATTAATTTTGTTTTCTAACAAAAATTCATTTATTAAAAGTACTATATATTTTTTAATTATTATTTGACAAATGAATTTTAAAAAAAAAAATAACTTAAATGGGATAGTGATCAGTGAAAGTCAAAAGAATGGTCAAATGTTTATGAGAAAATATCATTTTGAAAATTAAAAAAAATATATATATATATATATAGATAAAATGGAATTAATTTGATATATACATAAAATAAAAGAGATGATTTTTTATTTAATTTTCTTTTTCCACAAGAATAAAAAACAAAAATATAACATAAACAAACAAATACTTCACGTTTTTCAAGGACGAAAAGAAAAATACATAATTAAGAATATAAACGAGCATAGCCTAAGTTAGTATTAAAAATTAAATTGAACTGTGTCTATATTTATAAGCTCTTAAACAAAAATTAGATATACACAATCTGATTTAAACAGAAAAAAAAAAAAACAAATTACATTAATTTAATCAGAGAAACTAATATCATTTAAGGGTTTGGATATATATAGTCAATTCAATAATTACACTTTCTCAAAATGTATAGAATTTATTTAAAATACAAATATGTTAATAAACTCTAATGATTTACCAATTATACTGTTAATAAAATAATAAATATTATATTACTAATATATAGTTTTAGAATATGCTAGCCTATAGTTTAGATTGAGTCTAACATTTAACAATATAGTTTAATATCCTAATTAACGCATGCTACTTGCTAGTCTTAGACAGTTTAACGCAATCAAGATGTTTTTATCATTGTAATTTTTCATTAAGGGCAAATAAGTTAAGTAATGTGATTTTATGCCTAAATCTATCCTTTAAACAAACCCTTGATACTTTGGGAATTAGTAAAGTTACTTGTATGCAGAAATATTACTATCAATTAATAATCTTAATTTTCTTATCTAGATTTGACACAGGTAAGTTTTTTGAATAAATAATTTTTAGAATTAATAACACTAATCCCCCTAAACTATGATAAAATAATAAAAGTATTTTCTGAGGTTATAAAAATAACAGAAATCTTTGTATCCTTAAGTTTTAACTTTTAAGTGTTAAAATAAATGATACAAAGATAATTTAGTAATATTTTATTGACACGTAAGACCATCTCCAACCCATTGCATCAAATTGGTGCAAGTTTCACACTAAATTGGTGTAATTTTTTGTGTGAAATACTATTGCATCTCCAGCCCATTGCTCAAATATTACATCAAAAAGAATATTTTTTTTTCTTTTATTGTAATAATCAACAAGTAATCTATTCACTCATTATTTTTGTATATATTAATTAAATATTGAGAATGATATTTTTATTAAATAATAATTACTTTGAAAATTATTCTAATTTAATAAAATTAAGCATTTATTTAATCAAATACACATTACATTTACTATAGAAAAACATTACATCTAATATAAAATGATACAAAAAAAGTTTAACATATATTACATCTTTTAATTTTAGTATTTTTAAATTAGTGTTAATTTTTATTTTGAGTTATTGTAGTTTAATATTTGCATTGAATAAAGTTTTGTTTTTAATTTTTCATCATTTTTTGAATTATATAATTATTATGAATTTATTATTATAAATAATAATCAAATTAACTTAAATACAAATAACAAAAAATATATATATATTTTTTATACTATTTGAAAAGTGTCACGTCAAATTGGTGTGGCATGCACAATATTACACTAAATTTGGCCGTAGCACTGTACATAAAACCCAAATTGGTGCAAAAATTGCGTTGGGTTAAGGCTTCTTTCACTCTATTTGGTTTTTTACACAAAAATAGCACAAGTTGAGAGATGTTTTAATAGTCTAATTTTAGCAGCTCCCAACATATTAGCTGTAAAGAAACTTTATTATTTCGTAAACTAGAATAGATTTTATTTTATTATTATATCATATCTCAAACTCAATGTTTTAACTCTAATTTTGTAGTCCAGCAATAATACGGAAACAGGTTTAGAATTGTCGATGACAACTCATCCTCATCTACTACCCCGAAAAAAGAAAAAGAAAAAAAAAAAAAAAAAACTCACCTCAATTCTTAAACGACCACGCTGAATATAATAAATTTTTATTTCCTTTTCAGAAAGATGAAAGAGAACGTTTTGTTTAAACATGTGCTTCTTCACGAGTAAACTAAACACCACGCCACGTTCTGCTTATGCTTTCGTGCTTTTTCTAAAACTCTTGATTCCTGAACTACCCTTGAATTAAATAAAAGATTCCCAAACTACCCTTGGGGTCCGTTGAAATTGCACAGTACTCCTTTGAAATCAAAACGCGGGATGAGCGGAATGATTAGCGAATGCCGTCTGTCTTCTTGTGGCTTTCGTCTGTTCGTAATCATTTCCTTAACCCTTCCCACTCTCTTTGAGGAACGTGTTTCCACGCTCTAACACAGTGGACATATGAATCTGATTCATATGCTGTCTGGAAGTTGAAGTCACCACGCCATTGATTGATTGAGAGTTGGGGCCTTGGATTTAGGGGATTTTTCACGCGCTTGAGTCTTTTGAGTAGCATTCTGCTTAATATTGGAATGCTTATTATTTATAAATTTGTGAAATATTATTTTACAAAAAACATTACGTATACAAGTATATACATTTAATATTAAGTTTAAAAATAGATAATAGTTATATTTACATAAATATAAACATATTTTTCATTTCAATGTTAATTTTTTAGTAGTATTTCAAGTCCTATGAATGCATAATTGTAAA